CTCCTTTATCCGGATCCCTCGCCATCCGGAAGAAAATCGTCGGGTACCAATTAACAGCACATTCCATGCATATGTACAATATGTGTGTTCGATTATCCGGTTCCCTCGCCCATCCGGATATTTCGTGGAAAACGGATGTGTGCGATTAAGCGAGGTCTAACTGTAGTTGGAAAACGTGTGTCTTGGTGTGCAACCATAACAACCATGGAGTTACAAACTTCAGTCTGCGCATCATGGTCTGTGTCCAAAAGACATCTTTAGTTCGCTGTGGCCTTTCTCACCGGCTGTGCAGTTCACCATCGGGAGCCCCAGGGTACGCCATTTCGACAGTCGATGATTTCTCTGGTGTGTGAGTGTGTGTATGTGTGTGTGTGTGTGTGTGTGTGTGCGAGGCACAAGTGTAACGCTGTTCGCGCGGCCCGCGCGCGCTGAGTACTGTATGGCGTTCCCCGCCCGGTGGACAACACGTCTCCTGGTCTGCCCCGTATGGGGCCACATAGCCAGTCATGGCAGTGGAAGAAGGAAGGAAGGAAGGTGTGTGTCCCATATGGTGCAGTGGTATGTGCAGCGATTTCCAATCGATAGGTTGCGGGTTCGATTCCCGACGATTATGGTCACACACGTCTTTCTTCTCTTTCTCAGACTCTTCCTGACTTTTCTTTCATTCTCCTGGGTGGTTACCAACAGCCAGTGTATGCCGGAGTATGTGGTGTGGTGTGTGTGTAGAAAAAGAAAAAAGAAAAAATAGGGATTCACTGGCCAGAAAAAGTCACTTCAACAGCTGTGTGGTGGATACCAGGCTAAAAATAGTGGCGGTCAATTCATCAGCCTTGCAAGCTGTTGAATGGTGTAATCCCAGCACAAGTTGCTATGTCTAACATAGCTGTTCGCTATCATCGCTCCCGCGATGGGCATGTCTAAGGTCTAAGGTGTGTGCACGCGTGTGCGTGATAATGATGGTGGAGCACAAAGGCAGAGTAGTAATTCATGCCAGCATGCAACGTTACAAGCCATGCATTGATCTAACTGAGTGGCTTACTTCTTGGTATTCATTGACTGTAGCGACGCCACGAATCATCAACACTGCAGAGAAACAAAGCCATAACATCAAAGACTAAGCAGTAACAGAAATGGATTCAATCTGAACCAGCTTGGGGCCTAAACTAGGCTAAAGAGGCAAAATGTTGATGGTAAACTTGACAGGACACAAAGCATACAAGGTTCAGGGAAAACGGATATAATCATTACCAGTTTAAATCACCGGCCTGTCACAACTCGAATTTCACTATATCTAATGTCCATGGTGAGGTTGCTAGTACTGGCAAGAGTTGTTTATGCACTTTCGGTACAAGACACAATCAGCACTGCAAGTACACTACACTGCATACTCTAGATAATAATAATAATATGCTAAGACTGTATGTAGCCTAGTCCTGGGAGTTTGGAGAACACCAGTTAGTACAGTAGTGTACTAGTACATGTCATTCAAAGCACAGTCCCGATTGCCGTTACAGTGACACACCATGGCATCCATGCATGCAGTTAATGATATCAAGAGCATGCCGTACGTTTCGCTGTGTCGTTGAATGTGCTGTTGATCGTTTTGTCTTTGATTTTGTCACGCAGGTTGACGGACAGAGCGGTCGTGTTGATCGACAGCGTCACAAACTTGGAATGATTGGCTGCGGCATCTTTCACCATAACCATGGCACCCTGTGCACAAACAAAATCAGTACCCACGCACGTGATGACAGACCACTAATCAATACACCGGTGATGATAGGCCATTTGAAACATTATGAGATGCTCAAAAGCTTTGAAAGACCTGTGAAGGCACGACAGACATGACAATACTGGACAAGTTGCAAAAGACGGCAAGAACTTGCAAGAACTGTGATTGTCGTGTCCGCTCTCGAAGGGAACTCACGACAGCCGCTAACACCGGGTAACCCCTATCGGCATAAGTACTGCATAAAGCAGACCAGGGCCACAATTTGTCCCCAATTCGACCTCATTTGGCAGCCAAATGGGGACTTTCAGGACAAGTAATGCATAAAGTAGAACAGGATCCCGATCGGACCTTATATGGAGGCCAATCAGATCCCCAACTAGCATATCTTAGGCATAAGTTTGTAATTATTTGTGGAGCATACTGCTAGCCCGGTAAAAGCATATCATCAGAGAAAATTTTGAAAATTACTGTACCTGCATCTTATGCGCAAAGTTATCATCCGGATCCGACAGCACCAGGTCGCCTATATTTACCGGAGTTCCCTGAAAAACAATGGACACGGAAACAAAATAAGCCCAAGTACAAAAACAATACACACACAAACACGCACACACACACACACACACACACACACACACACACACACACATGCACACGCACACACACACACACACACACACACACACACACACACACACACACAACACAAGCACACACACACACACACATACACACACACACATACACACACACACACACACACACACACACACACACACACACACACACACACATACACACACACCTATTGTCATCAGAAAGCACCTAAATTCACAACCAGTTGCGTTAGGAAGACTATTCAACCAATCAAGAGCATAATAACCCCCCAAGAGTGAGCAACTCCTGATACACTTTCTATGGGGTACGCCGACGGCGAAAACTCACATCACCTGGTGCAGTGTCGCAGTTGTACGTTTCCAGGCCGTTTTTAGCGACTCGCAGCGGAATAATAAAAAAGCACTCTCTGAAAGAAACTTACTGCAGGTATGCAAATCCCCAGCATGATCATGGCAGAAATTCGGATTGCGTGCACGCTATCCTTCGTTTGTACGTAGTACGAACGTATCTGAGACACGTGATGTGAGTTTTCGCCGTCAGAGACCCATATGCAGAGTTGCACACTCTTGGGGGTTACATACTCTTGAACCAATCTGTGTCCATATCCGAATCTGCAAACTGTCCAAAAATAACGAAGGCTAAATGGCCAGCAATACGTATTTTTTAGGGCTGAAACGATCGTGGATTTTCACGTATCGATTACTCTTTAGCTTAACGATCGAGTAATCGATTATAATCGTTAGCAAATAGAGTCATAATTCTGTGCAAACATTACTCTGTTTCCACAAACTATGCCTTCATAATACCAACAAATCTGCATTAGTGAAAGGGTAGCTCCGAAACATGGCAGTTTCGAAGTCAATTTAACCTCAGAACATGAACCATACCCCTGGCAACTGCATACTCCCAGCGGAAACTGATTCAAACTTCACAAAACGAGGGTTTACCGTACTTTCTGGGCACAAATTTAAAAAACGCAAAATAATCGTAATCGGTAATCTAAACGATTGCTCGATCGTTAGAGTTATCAAACGAGTACTCGATTATTCGGTATAATCGTTTCAGCCCTAGTATTTTTAGAACTCAAGTGTGAGGATTTCGCAATACACCATTCTACACACTCAGAGCATAGTCCGTGAGGTGCACAGGGGGCATCAGCACCCTCTAAACTTGTTCGACCTTTATTCAGCTTGCACATGTTTGGGCCACTTGGCCTTGGGAGCACAGTACAGTGTTGTGAAGCTACAGGCTCAACCCCCCCCCACCACCACCAAGAAAAAGGTGGACCCGCCATGTGCCTGGTGACCTTTTCATATGCGTGCAATGCATGTACAGTCTACTCGCAATGAATCCCCCACAGCGTCCCAGAGCAAGTAATGTCACTGATGGCCGACTTGCTGCGGGTGGTTAACTAATTGCTTGTAAAATCGTCAGTCTGGGACTTGATCATTGTGTACCCACACTCTGTTCATATGTATAGCTTGTGCAATCAGCTGCAACACAATTATGAGTACATGACTGTTTTTGACTGTGCATGCACAGTCATAAACAGTCGTGCTGGCCGGTGGGCTTGATGTGCACTTGTACTGGCCCAGACCACTGCTTAGCATGATTGTGTGACTATGACTATCAGGACCCCACTCCCCAGCCATGATGTGTGTGTGTATGACTATCAGGACCCCACTCCCAGCCATGATGTGTGTGTATGACTATCAGGACCCCACTCCCCAGCCATGATGTGTGTGTGTATGACTATCAGGACCCCACTCCCCAGCCATGATGTGTGTGTATGACTATCAGGACCCCACTCCCCAGCCATGATGTGTGTGTATGACTATCAGGACCCCACTCCCCAGCCATGATGTGTGTGAACAGGACTGATAGTCTGTCCCACCGTCCTTCCCCGTGATTGGGTGGTCGGGTGGTCGGGGAAGGTCACTGGCAGTGACCTTCCCCGACCACCCGACCACCCAATCACGGGGAAGGACAGAGACTCTTATTTATTATTATTATTCTTTATTTCCACGATGGCCCATGGCCAATAAGGAAGATAATATGATTCAAATCAGTCCAGAATCAGTCTAGCAAGTAAGGAAACCAACACATTGCAGACTCATTCCGACTTTCGCCAGAGCAATGAAGAATGGCACCATGAGCATAAACGCTCAGCCAGAACGACAAGACCGCAATGCCTCCACGACGATCAGCTACTAGTACGAGCGTACACGAAATAATATTCCTCCGACCTTCTCAGGCATAGCGAGGATGCTAGCCTACAAGTCATCGTATCATGTAGATCTACAAGTCAACATCAGGAAATCGGAGCAGTACACACATACACCGTCGGTAGGTTTTCCGTTTTTCTCACCTCTTTGAATGTGGCACAGCTCTGCGGGTTCTGAGAGTCGACGCTAGGTGCAGCGAGTGCCAACAGCAGAAGGATCAGCAGCACTGAACCAGTCCGCAACGCCGCCCAGTCCATTGCAACCACGCGGTTTGCTCAGCTCGCGCCGAGCGTCAGCGAATTGGCTTGTGAGGGTGGCACCACCCTGTATCGCGTATGAAGAGAAGTATCCTTCTTTGCTTGAGTCGCTGCCGCTAACGATGCACGTAAATGACGAAGAAATAAAATAGATTCTTCTTTAGCCAACACACTCTGTGTTGGAACTGTTCTAAAATCCTGGATAGTTCTGGTTCAGTCAAATCCGTTTGAAAAATGTCCCTCCTCGCTCGCGTGCTTATGCAATGGCATGCCAAACGGACCACTGAGTATGTCACTGACAAAGTGACATATCGACATGCCATCTATTTCTTGATACGGTGGGGACCACCCAACGACAGTGCCAATGGCCAAGCTAGACATTCAAATCGCCAGTACATGATCTACTACCACTGGAACAAGCCATACCGCGCCGGTATACCAAACTCAGACTCAGAGTCAACGCCGCAAAGAAACTGTCTTCCTGCGCTCGTCGTGGCTAGGATTATGTAGTTCTGTAGATTAGGTGGTAGCAGCTGCATGCGAAAGCGCGCCATTCCGTGATCATGGTGATCGTGGTGATCCGGGATAGTGGTATTGCCATGGAAACGAACTGCTTCGCGCGCTGCACGCTGCGCGTGCGCCGATCCCGTTCGGTCATCAGTGGTCATAACACGCCAGCCTGCAGCCCTGTGCAGCGCGCGCGTCTGTACTAGTGAGTAGTGTGGTTGGCGAGTGCGGTTGGCTACAATGCACTCACTGACTCAGAGTCAGAGTCAGAGCGTGGTAATGCTGCATACTACATGTACAAGTACAAGTGCTTAGCCATGCATACAGTCAGTCAGTAGCTTAGACTTGGAGACACACTCGATTCGTATCCTGGTATGGTATCGGACTAGTGTCTAGTGACACATCTACCGACATTGCCATTGGATTGACGGTCCTTTGGGACGGGAACCCGGGACTGGGAGTGGGAGTTTGACCTTGCCAACACTACCTAAAACTTCAGTACAACTACAAGTGAGTTAGTCTGACACGCTAAATCATCACCAACGGGGCATCGATGAGAGGGGTGTCGTGACCATCGACTGCCTACATCAGTACATGTACCTGAGCTACTCAACTCTTTACTGAGTTTGACAACACACTCTGGACACGGGAAGGACCGTCGTCCCGTCTCCCGTCAACACATCGAGCGCTTGGCAGGTAGCGTGGCGTGAGACTAGAGAGCCAAGACGTAAAACAGCAGATAACCTTGTTGAGGCACGGAATTGCTCGATTCATACGACCTGGTAGATCTACTTTGCGGGAGGTTCTTCCCGGCCCGGAGAAAGATCAGGACGGTCTTTATTTCCCGAAGACATTGTCTAGCAGCCAGCGCAGCTACGGTAGGTCCTGAGCTTGTCAACTCACCTGTAGATCTACTGTATGCGTGTGGATATCATTGATCCACGAACACGAATCTACTCAGCTTGAGTCTTCAAGCAGAGCTAAGCAATCCGATCGACAGAGTGGTAGTTTTTAGCTGGAATTACTGGAGCTGCGCATGCAATCAGGGACAGCTCAGAACTTTCTTGTCTTCCTGCGAGTGCTGCAAAGAGCCTGAAGCTGTGGTCCCGTATCATCCGCTGGATCTGGCCTCAATCCTGCAGGGAAAAAACTGTGCGCTCTGTGAGAATAGTGCGGACATAGCCGTTCACTGTTTGATAGCATCACATCGGGCGTTCTTCGGAATCTTTAGCTCAACTGACTCGAAGTCGAAATCGGCTGCCGGCAACTGGAACGGAATACAGCAGTGGCGGTGGCCGCAAAGCGGCCGAAGATGCTGGAGTGATGCACATCATGTTACCGAACACAGCGTAGCAGTTGTGCTGATATTGAATGAGCTAAACACAGAGTGGAGGAGTCTGAAAAGCTTGGATGATGCAGATGTCATGTTAGAGTGAGTGGGTCAAGGAGCCTACAACCTCTGCGGCTTGTTGTACGGCATAACAGACAATGCCATTGCAATAGTTACCTTCACGGAGAAGTCAGTCGAAACTCTACGTTAGTAGCAAGCAGACTTGATCCTCACAGCCACGTGTGCATGGAGTTGTCCTGGAAGACAACATCCGCTAAATCAGCAACAGCTTCACCGTGCGACTTGTGCAAGGCTCTAGGCTACTGACCTAAGATACGGGGCAGCCTCACTGTGCGTGACGTGCTTGCTGGCGAGGAAGAGAACAGCAAGTCTGCATGCATGTGTTTGCACGTGTGTGTGCATGTGTACGTGTGCATGTAGGCGTTCAACAGGCCGTGTGCTGCATTGCCAAACCCGGTGTCAAGCACAGCTGTTCATCGCTCAGCATCGCATAGCACTGTGCAATGGGGTGCTCGCCATCAGCAAATTCAGCGCGTCGCCAGGAGAGCCTGCTGGCTCTGGCAGTAGCACAAGAAGCTCTCCTGCTACAACAGCACCAGCAAGCACAGCTTAACGGTAAGCACTTGTACCAGTCGTCCCTCTTTAATCCAGCACTTTATAAACCGGCAGAATGAAGTTTACCGCCATATTGCCAGGTGTGTCTTTACCACCATATTTATCAACTTTATAAACCAGCACAATTTCAGTAGTGAAAATGTCCCCTTCGTGCACATTGCAGCAGTAAATCAGAATTGTCCATCCAGCACCCTCACTAATCCAGCACCCTCGCTAATCCAGCACCCTCGCTAATCCAGCACCCTCGCTAATCCAGCACCCTCGCTAATCCAGCAGAATTTCTGTGGCACAAGTGGTACTGGATTATAACAAGACCACTGTATCCGGGCAATATGAACACCGCTGTGCTGTTTGAGCAGGAAGCAACTGCCAGGCAGGTGCTCCAGATAAGAAATGCATAACTTATCAGGACTACGAGCCTTGCCTGGCATTCCACTCGAGCGGTGTGCTGGCACAGGGAATGAGACAATTCGAGAGATACCGGGCATCCGAAAAATTAAATAAGCGAAGGGCTAGGTTCTGTACCTGGAATCCGACACTCCGCCTGCACTCAAAGATCAGATTATCAGACTAATGTCATGGGTGCTTTCTGAAAAAAGGTTTTCCCGTACGTACAGTCTGGCAGTCCTGTCAATGCAACCTAGGTGTGGGCATATCTGGCCTGCAGTCGAATGTAATTAGGACTGAACTGTGGACATATTGGTCCCGCTCGATTACATGTTCTGGACACATAGGTTCGAAAATTCTCGGATAACCAGAACGAGCGGATCACGGCCATAAGAACAGCTGGAAGTTGTCATGAATTCTGTACTGACGATCCACTTGACAAACCCATGGAAAGAGATTTCGTACACAACTACTTGTACTGTAGAACCTGTCAATTCAACCACTCGGATAAGGCGACCACCTGTCCCAGAAGACCACTGACACCAGAACCAAGGGATGTTAGTTCCAGTCAAATCACCCTGGATAAGTAGACCACCTGGTAACAGAAACCACGTTTTGAAGGTCCCCTGAGTGGTCGTCTTAGACAGGTTTCAATGTATTTGTGCGAGTCAGTAGTATACATGCCGCAGACATGCACGGTGTCAAGAAAGCGTACACCAACTGGGTAAATTTCTGGTGGAAGAAATTAGGAACTCGGCCTTCACTTCAGAATGGGCAGAATTAGATTCAGTGGATTCTGATGAAGAAATCTGTGTAATCGAAAGGTGTAGGGAATTCTAGAATGGAAGGAACTGTGCGTAATTGAACGCGCCCGCTGCATGGCTTGTATTGCACTTGTAGGTGTCATATCCAAGTGTGTATATAAGTACTTCTGAAGTTTAACAAAATTGGTTCTGTCCCACAAGGAATTCACGCCACCAAAACCTGGCCTAGCCATGTACATGTACATGTAAAGCCTGGAATACTGTAATGTCGCGTATAAAAGCAGGTGTGTATGGCCGTATAAGCCGAGGTTCAAACCATGCTTCTCTTCAAGTTCTGTTTCTATTCGAAACATGCTTCTATGTCAACATCATTAGTCTACACTGTGCAGTGCATACTGCCAGGTATGTACTTGCACATGTAGTCTTTGCACAGAGAGGCTTCTATTCAAATAGTGCTTCTGTGTCACGGCGCGCTTCGAAAATTCGGCTTCTATTCGAGTCATGCTTCTATACAGGTTATGCTTTTATACGCGATACTACAGTATGCATTAGCTCCTCTATCGCGATGGAAATGTTAAATTTAGGTTACGTCAACACACCATAAATATTGTGAGTGTGCCGTGAGTGCGTTGGCAAAGAGTGCGCAACATAGTGTTGTGGGGTGATCTGAAAGCCATCATCTTTCTTCGAATAAAGAAGTCCTATCCGTTTCTGACTGGAATGGAACTGTAAACAAACTTGCTCATCCCATACAAACTCTCTTCTTCCCTGTTGTTTCTCAGGCCAACACTACACAACATCTAGTCGAAGTACGTCATGCTGGCTGGGAGAAGGTACGTCACCAGACACAGTCATGCCACCGGCATACTCAGAAGACCCGCCCCCAGGACACACGTCAATGGACACTAGGCTCACATCAACGCATACCGGTGATGAGCATGACCAGTCGACTGTGCAAAGTCATGGAGGTCAGCAAACACCAGGAGCTTCCCCGGACAGACATGACCTGGCGGCGTCCCCAACCAGGACGCGCCGCCGAAAGAGATCCAGTCGGTCCTCGAGCTCACTACCACATGATGCCATCCTGCCCAACTTGAATGCATCGCCGACCAATGGCAGCGGCGGTGGCAGCAGCCGACGTCGATCCAATCCGCACTTGAGAGCCCGGAGACGCATAAGCCCCATGCCTGCCTCCATGGCCAGCCCACCAGCTTCATCTTCCTCCATGCGTGCCAACGAGGAGAGCGAGGCGCAAGCAACACTAACAACCATGAGAAGACCGGCTGCTACGACACCACCGCAACAATCGTGGGCAAGATCGACTGCACCAGGGCGAAACAGCAGGCAGGCCAGACAGCAAGAGAGCAGCAGCACACAATCAGCACGTGAGCCAATAGTGTCACCGAGCAGAGTGAACCAGGACACTGAAAGTACTGCTGATGCTGCTGCTGATGCGCACGGCATGCATGTAGTTGAAATCGAGGAAGACAATCCGTGCCAAGATGAGCTAGACAAGAATGGGCAAGATACAACTGGCTTGGGTCAAGGCTTAACAAAATTACAGTTGGAGCAGGGACAGCAGCAACAACCAAGAGAAGGAACACAGGCGGAAAGTGAAGGTAGGCAGCAGATACAAGTCAACACATCCAGCACCAACACAGAAATACCCGAGAGAGAAGATCCAGTTGGCGAAAGATCCAGCCAGTCGCAGTCGTCATCAACATCTACGCACCCTGACACATTACGACGCAACCTATTTCCAAGTTTTCAAGCAAGAAGAAATGGCACAATGCTTCACAGAAACGGTCAAAAACAAGCACCAAGTGAAGCCAAGGATGGTACGGTGGCTGATAAAGACCACTTGGAATACCCGAATGCCATGCCGCAACAACAGCAGAGGCCAGACAGTGCCACCACCCTGGCTGAGCAGCCCATACGCGAAACGCAACGGCACTCCAGATCAGTACATCAGCGCAGTCATACCACGGGCCACCAGCTAGCTCCTGCCACCACACGTAACAACTGGGTGGAGCGCCGCCAGTTTCCCAAGCTAGACAACAAAGTTGCGCCTGCACCGGGGCCAGGCGGAGCACGCAGCTCAGCACCTCCCGCACGGCTACTGATGCCTGTCAGGACCAGGTCATCACAACGATTGCCGCCCCTAGATACAGCAAACGCTGCAGCAGCTGTACTCTCTACTAAACTCAACCAGCATCTCCAGGAGGCACCTGGTCGCAGTGTCAGCAGATGAGAATTCTCCGAAAAGCATAGCCATGGACAACAGAGCGACCAGGAGATTGAGCAATTGACACACAGAACAGAGTTCCATTTGCGTTTCAAAGAACAAAGTAAATGGAAAAACTGCCTACCTCTTCTTATGCTCACGTATTAAAGCATATGCCATTGCCAGCCAAGCCTTGCATGTTCTTCTTCATGGTGAAATTCCAGTCTGGCTTGTTTTACGGCAAACCATTCTTCAGCTGCTGACAGTAACCAAAAACTTAGAGAGGCAAGTAACGTTACATTCGAACAATACTGGCCTTGAAATTCTGTAGTTGATCTAGCGTTAGGTATACTATTCATGCTCTTATATACGAGTTCGTGTCAGATATTCTTCAGCTCCTGACAGTAGCCAAAAACTTAGAGAGGCAAGTAACGTTAGATTCGAACAATACCTTGAAATTTTGTAGTTGATCTAGCGTTAGGTATTCATCTAGCGTTATTCATGTTCTTATAACTATACGAGTTCGTGTCAGATATTTAGAGGATTCCATCAATTCTTGTGATAGCCAGGAGCTTTTAAACTGTTGATTGTTGCACATGTTGCCCCCTTGATTTGTCCATGGTGCCCTTTCTTTCCACTGTTGAGCTTTCAACCAAACTTGGCAACCTTTGTTATACATGTACTAGTAACAGTATTGCCCTAGTGGTGTGCCATGTCAGAAACTAATATTTGGCAAGACGTACTGAAGGAGATTGCAGCGAAGAGACCGTGACCGGTGAAACATTCGAAAGGTTCTGAATCTGTTTGATGTAGGAATGGAATAGCTGTGCTGCAGCTTGCGTACGATAACAAACCACACATGCACACGCAGAGAAGATGAAGAATAATCTAGCTCAACCGTGTCCAACTCTTGACGATATGGGTCCAAGTACTGCTGCAGCCTTCCAAAAGAAGGAAATGCCGAGTTCGGACAGTACAGCACAGCTCGACTCTGGGTAGAACGCAAGTTACTTAGTATAGAGTGCGTTTCAGAAGTCCAGACCTCTGGTTTCAAAAAAACGTTAGGCCAGCATGTATACCACATAAAATCCGTGATCACTTTGTGCATAAAATTTCCGAAATTGGGCGTCTGTTATCCAATCGCTTAGAAAAATATATGAGAAAAATTGCGGGAGCTGCCTGAGCATGCAATATCCTGAAGAAATTTGTCCAAAAGCTAAAACCAAATTTGAATTATTCGAAAAAGTCTAGAGGTCTATACTTTTGAAACGCACTATAATCTATCCATCCCAAGGTCATCGGGGCCTCACTGGTGCACTAGTACTTCAAAGTATACAAGTAAGCTGCACTCATTTCTTGGAGAGAAAAAAAGACACCAGTTTGCATTCGTCACTCAGTATGAAACGAATATTCAGGCCAAAAGTTGCAGGAAATTTTGGCCCAGATTTTTTTTTTGAGAAATGTGCGGTTCAGACCCTGGAAGCGGATCCTCTCTGAAACAACAGGTCTATGGATATAAACTAAGGTCCGGGCTCATCAGGAAAATACATTGTCATCATGCACATGTGCCTCAAACGAATCCTCTGCTGGTCCTGTAGGGTGTGTACTGCCTTTCCTACTGTAGTGCACGTGCACACTGTTGACAGCAGCACTGCTACAGCTTGCTTTGCGGGCAAGTTGTAGCCGGAGCCCGAATCCACTTAGTACTTCAGCAGCGTAAACTCGGGTGACAGTACAGGACCGCCGGAAGTAGTTTTTGATTGGTCGGGTAGTTTCACCGCCTTTCATACTTTATGCATGATATGGCGAGCACACATGACATCCATAGTAGTAAACATGATTGTGTGGGTGGCTAAAATGTTGGTCCGGCGATAAGCTGACCAACCGGACCGTTTCCGGCGGCCCTGCAGGATTGTGTTATCCACTCCATGTACATGCAGCCTGAAATACAATAATTATAATTATTATTGTACAAGTAGGTGCAGATGTGGTATTGGAACATCCTACGAACAGCTGCAGTTGTGTTTCATTGATTGCAGCATTGAAATTCCTTTTTCAAGACGTGTAAAATAGTCAATTTATCCTTGGTATGGACATGTATGAATGTACAGTATTCAGCCTTACCTGTCCACTATAGTATTACCGTAAAGTATCGCGGGAGCACCCCGCCAACTCGTCCTTTCGTGACCGTGCTATGGAGGGGGTGTCCTGTCTGTAGGTCATACAACACGTACGGTACCTCGTGCACATATTGCACGCTGTAACCCCCAGCCTGATTGAGGAGTTTTATTTTGAAAATAATCATTGAATGCACATGGAGAGTGTCAAGATGCTCCTGGATGCCCACCACCCTTTCTGCAGAAAACGAACTTCTACAAAATTTAATATTGATTTCATTGTCCTGCAGAAAGGGTGGGCGGACGAGGCTGAATAATACCGTAAACCTTTTCGTTTCGAAAACCAATGCTGCAGAGTACACTGTGCTAGCCGACCCATAGTGCATGGATTGTATTGAGCAGCACTGTAGGCTAGCATCACAAAGTCATCCATGGGCACTGCATGCATGCAGTTCGGGCCTCCGCCTCAAAAAGTTACACTTTCGGCCTGATGATCGTGACTACGGGAAACTCGGAGTTGCAACTCGAAGTCGCAACACAGCTCCCCCCCCCCCCCCCCCCTCTCTCTCTCATGAGTCATGGTAACATACCGGTAATTATAATTATATGGGGAAAAAACTCACCTCAGAGTTATGGCCAACTGAGGCTACAAGACATCATGAGAATTTGGTTGGGTTGGATGTGGCTATGGGTCTCTTGTGACAGGCAATAGAACTAATACAATGTCATGTACCATCAAGAGTATAACTCTTGGTACCATGGCATGACACAGTTCATTTGTAGCACTGACTGCATACAATTCCATGGCATAGAAATGAGAAATCCATTACCGGTATTCCCATTCGACAATAATTCGGCCATCGGTTCCAAAACTGAAAGATCAACATCACGCTGCAGCAAGACATTTTCAAAATGAAATGAACTGACATCAAGCTGTCCATAGCTGCATCGCGTCAGCTTGCTAGCTTCATGCTTCGAAGACAACGTACGTTAACGTATGCATGAACAAACAATTATGACAAGTCAATGCATGAATGGCATGATGACATGATCTGAGGAGGAAAAAAATCAGGAAAAAATTCAAAATTGAAAACACTTTTTATCTCGAAAAAACAAGTACGTATCGATTGTGTATCGTACATGTACATATGTAGTTTGATTGTTATTCCTTCTGCTTGGAAGTCATCACTACTTGTGTTGGTGTATTCTTCCACTGCTCCAGCGTCATGGCCGAGAGTGGAGAAGTGTTGTTCTCTAGTTGGCATGCAGCCCGTGACCAACTCAGAAAATGGAGAGAAGAAGGATCAAAACAGAGTGAGAGGGTGTTGGCGTTAGGTCAGGACCTGATCACTGAACAAGGAACGAAACTGGGAGACGAACTATGGACAGTTTACGAACAAGTCTTTATTGCTGCATTGGACTGTAAGCAAAATGTACTGGCCACGGCGTATCTGAGAGAGCTATCCAGGAAATTCCCAGGGAGCAAGCGTGTAGCTCTACTGCGTGGCATGAGCCTGGAAGCACTTCAGCTGTACGATGAGGCTGATAAGCTGTATGCAGAGCTGTTGGAACATGAGCCGGCCAATTCCGGTGTTCACAAGCGGCGTTTAGCGATTATGAAGGCGCAGGGACAAACGTTCGAGCTTGCAACTGGTCTAACCAAGTATGTGCAGGACTTCAGAGCCGATCACGATGCGTGGTTGGAACTCGCCGACGTGTACATTGGCAACCAGGAGTATGGTAAAGCTGCATTCTGTGTGGAGGAAGTTATCATGGCCAATCCTCATCACCACCTCTATCACCTGCGCTATGCTGAAATCCGGCAGACGATGGGTGGTGTGGAAAACTTGGAAATCGCAAGAAAGTACTACTCACAAGCTGTCAACCTCCACGCAACAAGTGTGCGTGCGCTGACTGGCCTTTGTCTTGTTTGCTCCTCGCTGGCATCAATGGCAAAAGGCCCGTCAAGTAAGTCAAAGAAGGATAGCCAGCGCCTTTTTTCATGGGCGTCAGAGCGCCTGATATCGGTCTATGAGAATCAGGGAGCATCCGAGTGCCAACTGCAAAGTGTGCACGCGATGTTAGACTGCCTGAGTATTGCAGAGCGCAGCTGAAGCTAGTGCAGCATAGTATCACCCTTCTTTCATAGTTTCCCCAAGCAAGAGCGCAGGCGTCAGGCTTCTTTGTATTATAGGATGACTCAAGTTATAATTGTACATAGCTAGCTCATTTTTATTATTTTATTTTTATGTACAGCCATGTATAATATCCACACCGGTAAACTCTCATGCAAGTTTTCTCCTTCACTGTATTCTTTGTTGGTCAGTATTTTCCTGACATACATGTACGTGTACTAGTAGATGCATCGTTGCTTTACCTCTGCACATAGTGTAAAAACGTTTCCATTTCTGTTCCATTTGTTTCTTTTGTGACCTCTGGTCTGATCCACTGGTATCGCTCTGTGTTGTAGAGCAGACATGTGCATGCATGACCATGGTTTACATTACGTACACTCACTGGGACTGTATTATGCTCTATACCAGATTTTCCAAAATGGACGCGGGAGATACCCTGGACCCCCCCCCCCCCCCCCCTCCCCTCAAACCGGACCAACTTCGCCCGCCAGAAGGCGGGCCTGTTAGGTATTTCAAGTGGACTAAAAGATGAAAAGCTTTGTTCTGCACCTCTCTTCATGTCCCTGTAAGAAGACAACCGGCCTGTGGGAGACATTGGAAGTAAAAGAAGAGTCGAACCAAGTAAATAATCAGGGGAAACTACGGTAGTGCAGTCATCAGACAAAAATTGCACTACCCGGCATGTGCTTGAAACTTGGAGTACAGTCAACTTCGCTAATAACGACTGCGGATATAACGACAGTTCGCGAATAACGACAGAATTTCCATGCCCAGAGCAAAGTCCCATCCCACTGTAATACATATAATGAGACTTCGGGTATAACGACACTTCGCGAGGAAGGACACCTTTTTGATGCCCTGCCATGTGTCGTTATAAGCGAAGTTGACTGTAACATCACCCTACAGAGTACCCTTACAGTTACTGGCCTTAGCACACTATCTTGTTGTCTACAGTCAACTTTGCGTATAATGACACTCGGCCGGGCATCAGAAAAGTATCCTTATTCGCAAAGTGTCGTTATACCCGAAGTCTCATTTAGTATACAGGTAGAATGAACTTTGCTCTGAGCATGAAAAGTCTGTCGTTATTCGCGAATTGTTGTTATATCCGCAGTCGTTATTAGGGAAGTTGACTGTGCTTGTTGTAAGCAGCAGAGTGCTGATTGTCATCAGAAACACCTGAAGCAAACACTTCTTTATCCAGCCTCAGTTGAAAGCACACACACACACATACGTCCATACACACGCACACACACACACACGTGCATGCATATGCACACATGCCGCCACCCCCACACATGAGTAAAATATGAAAAATGAATGCATGAAGGGAGATAACGTTATTTTGGTATCCCACGGCATACACGTAGCCTATGAGGCCTAGAGAATTAAAGTTTCAAAGCACATTGTTTTAAAAAGCCACTTTGCAATCTGGTCAGGGAAAAAGGCGAATGAGACCAGAAGATGCAAAACCTAAATCATACAAACAACAAAATCAGCAATGTACACTTACAAGATAAAGCAATATGCAATAATGAGATCAATATCACTGAACAGTACGTACAATGCACACACCCACACCCACACACACACACACACACACACACAAACCGGCACACAAACACACACACACAAACACAAATCAGGGAAAATCTATATACAGAGTAGAGTATGTACAGCAGGTCCTGTCAACTAGACTCAAATTAAACCTCGTAGCTTCTTGTATGCATCCAAGTCCAGAGAGCGTTTGGGAGCAGATGAGGCAACCGGCTTGGACGGAACAGCCATGACTGGCTTTGGCAACGATGTCGAGTCGGCCATGGAAGGAAGATCAATCATGATGTCGAAATTGTGAGCGGCGTACAAGTCATCTGACGGAGCGTTCTTGTCCGGAGTGGCGGCGTCTATACTGGCGCGACGATCCTCGACACTGACTCGTCTGTCGTCGCCTGTGGATGCTTTAGCAGCCTCTTCTATCTTCTTGATTGCGTCACCATCCTTGTCTTTCTGTGCCTTAGCGAGCTGAGCTAGAATAGCCGACGAAACAGTATTCTCCTTAGTTTTCGTGACAAGCATAGGTTTGGAACTCATACGGGTGAACGGATCTGGTGCGCCAGTTTCCTCAGCCAGCTCTTCTGCAAGGGCTTTTTCCGCCTCAACAACATTCCTCTTTCGGTTTCTCTCATTGATGTAGCTGATGGCTGTTAGGCCCTTGGAGCGCTGCTTGTCTAGCTCTTCGGCCTTACCTTCCAGTTCAGCCAATTGATGCTGGAGATTTTCTACATGGTCAGCGTCGTCCTTGCCACGCGCCTCTTCCAAATCGATCAGCAGCTTGTTCTTCCGAACAGCAAAGTTAGTGGGATTCTGACGAAAGCGATTCTTATTTGCAACCAGCTCCTCAATATCCTTGTCATTCAGTTCATACTGAAGTGCTTGCTCGACATCCTTCCGCTTAGCTTTCACGTCACCAACGGTCGGGAATCGAATGCCAGCAGACTTCATCTCGGTGCACCACTTCTGAAACTCGGTTTCTGTGAAGTCTTGATTCGAGACAAACTCAAGACGGAAAACACGCTCGCTACCGCCGTGACGAAGTCGCATTCCCTTGTTCGTCTTCGTTGCCCCCATTGAGTAGACCTTTGCGGTTTCCACGACGTCAGTAACCTCGGCAACACGATACACCGGCTTGCCACCAAACGTTCCAATGCCGATACGGACATAGCAGCCAACAACGGTCTTCTCAAAGTAGGGCATGTGTACCCACTGCTCCAACTTGTGGCGAGATAGGCGAATAGTGGACAGCACAGACCTGTTGGACACCTGCAGACGATTCTCAGACTCCTCTTGCGCTGCTCGGCGTCTTGACTCCTCATCACTGCCCGAGTCATAACGGGTATCAGACTGGTCATCGTCTGACGACTCGCTGGAGCTAGAGCTTGAGAACATTTCGCGGAAATCAACGCGGGCCGATGGAGCAGGCGCTTCGATCCGCTTCCGTTTCGTAGTTGCTGCTCGCCTTGCACGCAATTCCTCCATCGCTGCAGCCTTCTTGTCAGCTGACTTACTAGCAGAGCGATTACGCAGTGTACGCCGGCCATCTTTTTGACTGCTCGCACCACCCGCACCCTTCTGCTTCATGGCACGAAGTTTTCTCTCAATTTCCATCCGAGTTTTAAGGGCTTCACGCTTTTCATATCGACGGAACATTTCGGCTTCACGTTCCATTTCCGTCATAGAATCCAAGCGCCTCCTGTCACTTTCGTCTCCAATCAATTTGTCATCCAAGCCATCGTCGACTTGAAGTGACTCAACGCCGTCATCGTCGTCATCATCGTCATCATCTCCTCCGATATCTCCACTTACACCGTCATGGTTGTCATCGTCGTCCTCTTCTTCTTCGTCGTCGTCCTCTTCTTCTTCTTCGTCTCCTTCCTCTTCATCGTCCTCTTCATTTTGATCAGTTCCTGCAGTAGGTGCATTTGCTCCAGCACCACCGCCGCCACCTAGCGCCAACAACTCCTGCTCAAATTCAGATCCATCCGAATCTGAATCAGATTCGTGGCGACGTTTCGACGACATTCCTACAACGTGAGCATCACAAGCAGCTGAAGAAGTGCAAGCAACGCCAACGAACTTCTCTCAAAACAAGCAAACTTTCAACAACACCTTTCAAATTTTTCAATGGCAAAAGTCATTTTGATAAATAAATTTTTTCAGGGAGTTGTCACTGTACTTGTCAGTGTACAGTGACGTCACACGCAAAGGTCGACGATCGATCGCGCCTTTTAGTAAAAAAAGCGTAAAAAACTCACTCTCACGAGAAAAAAACTAATAATTTACTTCAGTAGCCCGGCGCGCCCCCGGCCCCCCCCCCCCCATGATTTACACCAGGGAGTCGTAAAATACCGGTATTTTACGACTCCCTGATTTACACAGTCATCGGTATGAACCAGGCAGGTGATCTTGTCCAGGCTTTCTTGCCGAAGTAACTGTGGTCCGTGTGGAAGGGTCCATCCTCGCTCTATCTACCCTTCCTACCCTGCAGAGACTGAGGATTATTTATAAGGCTCTACCCATCTCGGCCTCCCTGTCAGTCCAGCACCGTGATTCAGATCACTCTAATTGCTATCGCCGGGATTAGCTATTATGTGAAATGTTTCTAGCCAAGTAGTAGCGGAGTCAGGTTGAAATCCTGAATGATGCTCTTTTTTTTCTTTTCTTTTTTTTTTTTACTGAATACCACAGTACCATCAGATGCTGCACAGCGGGGGCGGTGACATATTGGATGGAAGTGGGGGCGGGGCAAAAGTAACTCCTCCGACCAAAGGTCTTGGAATCATCGTTACTCCCGTGCGCTGATACATAGGAGAAAAGAAACATGTGCATCCAAGAGGGAAGCACCGGCTTTGCAAACGATAATGGGGAGAATTTGAGATTAAGATAGGACAAAACAATAGTAAAAGCAGTGCACCGTAGGAAGATGGAGTGAACTGATAATCGGATTTTAAGGCTGAGCGAAGGGGATCAACGAGGGGTAGAAGGGAGCTGGAGTGCGGTCAGTATAATTAGGCTGGTGTGTTGGCAGAGATCATAGCCTGTCTGTGGCCCCCTCCCACTTGCTGCGCCGCAAGTGGTCGTTGACGTTTTTCTTGAACGTGTGCATACCTCTGCGAGAAGGGGGAGACTGCAGAAGGGTAGGTGGGAGCTGATTCCACGTTGCGATGAGGGAGCGGGGAAATGAGCGGAGCGTGTTGTTTCGTGCCTGAGGAGGCAGAATACTGGTGAGTTGCGATGGATGATGTGTTGCAGATCTGGTTGTCTCACGAGTAGACATGCGGCATTGCGGTGCGGCTGCTGATGGTGGCAGAATGGCTTTCACCATTTCCGGACCCTCCACAAAGTGCAGCTTGTACAGAAAGCAGAACCCTGCTATGGTACAGCGAATGTCGAGGCTCGGGAGGTATGATCTATCTCCAATTATGTGCAGGGCATGGCGCTGGATGGCAGTGAGGCAGGCCAAGGTGGTGGGGGCTGCGCTCATCCACACCAGCATGCCATACTCTAACACAGGGCGGACAAAGCCACGGTACACGATTGCCCGGTGCTTTGGGTCTAGCACAGCCGATGCCTTACCGAGGAAGCCGAGCCGCTGGGCTCCGCGTACTGCAAGCTGTCGGATATGGCTGCGGAATGCCAGCTGCCTGTCGAAGGTGACGCCAAGAAGCTTGAGCTCCTCTACTTCTGGCACGACTGCTCCTTGGAAGCGTATTGCGTTCGGGGGGGGGGGGGGGGGGTGGCGAGCGGTGGTGGCTGATGGTCAATGCCTGCGACTTTGTGGGCTCGAACTTGATCCTCCACCTGCTTCCCCATGCTGCCAGTGAGTCTACTGCCTGCTGGAGGATTGCTGTCTCTTCTGGCAGTCTGAGTCGGGTGGTGATGCACTTGTAGAGAGTTGTGTCGTCGGCGTATACAGCCAGCTTCGCCCCATCAGGCAGGTGGTCTTCTGCGTCGTTGACGTACAGAAGGAAGAGGGTGGGGCCGAGGATGCTGCCCTGCGGCACGCCAGATTGGATTCGGTGGGTCGGTGAAGACTGGCCACCTATGACGACACGGATGTGGCGGTCTGTCAGGTAACTCCGGAGCCAGGCAAGGAGGGGGCCACTTATGCCGCACCGCTCAGCCTTGTGGAGGACGCCGTTGTGCGAGACCTTGTCGAAGGCCCCGGCAATATCTACTGCGAGTACCCTGACGAGGCCTCCACTGGCAGCTGCAAGGCTCCACTCATGCTGAAGAGCAATCAGCAGATCAGAGGTTCCCAGTCCAGTGGGAAAGCCAAACTGCCTGTGAGAAAGGATGTCATTCTTCTTCAGGAAGTTGGACAGGCTGCGGTTCACGATGGACTCCATACACTTAGACATTATGGGCAGTAGCGATATCGGTCGGTAGTTTCTGGGGTTCGACTTGGGGCCTTTCTTGTGTACCGGTACGACGTTGGCAACTTTCCACATGGCAGGTTGATGACCACTGCAGAAGCACAGGGTAAACAGCTTGGATAGGGGCAGGGCCAGAGAGTCGGCACATTTTCTCAGCACTCTAGCAGATACTGCATCAGGCCCTGTGGCTTTACTTGGGTTCAGGGCTCGGAGTGTCCGGCGTACGGTGGCTTGGCGGAAGTGGACTGTTGCAAGCGTATTTGCGGTGCGCTGGCGGACATGCGGGAACGGCCCCGACTGTTCTGCAAAGTCATCGTCTAGGCTGCACTTCTGGGCAAAGTACTTCCCGATGACGTTAGCCTTGTCGTGGCTTTTGGTGCATTCCATGCCATCGGGGTCAACCAGGACTGGGATGGAGCTGTCACGGCCATGCCCTCCAACTCGTTTAATCACGCTCCACCACTCTCTGTCCTGCAGGCTGCCCGTCCGGAGCCGTTGCTTGACATGGTCGAGATGCCTGGCTTTGGCTCTTGCTAGACATCTTGTTGAGTCAAGGAATGCTAGCTTGTACGTACACTGGAGCGCTCCATTTCTGGGGTCATCGCGGAATTTCCGCCAGGCATTGCGCTTTCTGTCAACTGCTGCAGAGCTCTGCGCAAACGCTACTTGATTTAATAGCTATTAATTTTAGTATTACTTTTGGTATCACCCACGCCCGAGACCGTATCTTGAAGTATGAATCCCTCCGCGGCATCATCAGTCCCACACACACAAGAAATCCCACACAACTGAGAACAGCACAGGCAGATGCTTCATCCCAAGCCCGCCGTGCACGCATGGACCATGCCTGAAATCCATTGAAGGATAGCTAGCTGTAACTGCCCTCCTGTCATGCTTCGGGTGCTGGACCTGGCTTCAGAGAAGGACGCCTCTACACTACAGTTGGCTTCAAGCGACTACGGCCTGCCGCCTTGTTTCGTCCTCAACAAGCAAGCTTTCCGCGACTCACTTCATTTGCGCTATGGTTGGATCCCGTCCGGACCAGGGAGCCCTATGATATACCGGTATGTGTGGGGCTCCCTGGTCTGGACAGCCCTCAACCAGTGCGCCTCTTCTCAGCTCCGCGTTTTCGGTATGTTATGTTGCTGGAAGTGACTGCTGGCGGTTGAAACGTAGATCTACGTGCATGCGATAAGACATGTATCTAGGATCGCGTCTTCTCGAAACGCCCACACCCCATATGCCGGATGCTGCCATGTCCAGACTAGCGCCGTCGGCTGAGATCGCTGTGCGAAGACGCAGGGTCTCATCGGTGAGCAGTGAGTGGTTGCAGGGAAGGTTCAGTGCTCACATCATGGGCCACGTCTTTCAGGAGAGATGCAGTTATATCACGGAGGTCATTGTGACGCATGGAGGAGGTGTAGCCACCAATGAGGCGGACAAAGCGTGTTCAGCTGTGAAGGAAGCGCCGCATGCGCAGGTTGAGGGTAGTCCAGACCGGATCCAACCATAGCGCAAATGAAGTGAGTCGCGGAAAGCTTGCTTCTTGAGGACAAAACAAGGCGGCAGGTAAGCCAACTAGATAGAGGCTTCCTTATTATTTATTAGAACATCTCAAGACTCGGTGGAAACACCGGCCAATGTTTAAAAGAGAGTGGGTGATTGCCAACCACGGCGATAAATAAAAGTAAGGGGAGGGAGAAAGAAAGAGTAGCAAAATGAACAGCATCAACAACTCCGTAAAGAAAGATAGTGTCAAATAAAAACAGTGAGAAACACAGAGACGCAAAGGACATGTGGATAATGAGCTATTTATGTCGTAGTAAATAAGGGGCGGCACGGATCTTAAACAGGCGGAGTGAGGTCAGATCCTTAACTTCTCTTGGTAGAGTGAGCCAAACAGAATAAGCAATAAAGAGAGGAGAGTGGATGAGTTACACTTAGGGAGTAAGAGCGAGTTTCTAGTTCTTAGTAGCCATTGGCGGACTATGCTCGGCCAATCGTCAAATTATGCTTTTGATTATGCCACAATTATGCCAGCAAATATGCTGTATGCTGAATTATGCTCGGTTCCACTATGTATTCACGCTGTACATAGAGAATTGAGACACCACACATACACACACGGCCATGCCCTAAGCATAATTTTTGTCTAAACCGAAAGATTATGCCGACCTTAAACGTTGGAACCCGTATTATTATGCCGGAGCATAATTTTTTGACGAAATCCCAAGATTATGCCAAATATTATGCCGGCATAATCCGCCAAGGGCTATGACAAGGAGTCGTAACTGGGGTATTTAAACAAAAAAAACATCTGCAGGCTTTCTGACAAAGCTGTATTATGCCCCTAAGCATAATCTTTGTTTAAACCGAAAGATTATGCCGACCTTACACGTTGGAATCCATATAATATTATGCCAGAGCATAATTTTTTGACGAAATCCCAAGATTATGCCAAATATTATGCCGGCATAATCCACCAAGGGCTAGTTCTTAGAGAAGAGAACTAATTAAAACACATGAGATGAGGTGGGCACAACTCAAGCTTAATAGAATGGACAAGAGAAGCCAGGTGTGCACTGCGTCCATGTGATAACGGGGTTGTGTGAGTGATTTTATAAAGGGCGGATGATGGGAGCATGCGGGGTTGACGGAGGAGAATTTTAAGGATTTTCTTGTGGTGTATTTCAAGCTTTGCAGCAGCGGAAGAGTATAATCCAACCCAAGACGTATCGGC